GGCGGCGAGCCGGCGCGCCGCATCGGGCATGCCGACCAGCTCCAGCAACTCGTGCGCCCGCACGCGCGCCTGGCCGCGGCCGAGGTCGGTGTGGGTCATCAGCACTTCGACGATCTGCTTCTCGACCGTGGCCACCGGGTTCAGCGAACTGATCGGATCCTGGAAGATCATGCCGATCTCCTTGCCCCGGATGTCGAGCATGTCCTCTTCGCGCAGCGCGACGATGTCGCGTCCGTTCAGCTTCACCTCGCCGCCGACGATGCGGGCCGGCGGATCGGGCAGCAGCCGCATGATCGACAACGCCGACAGCGACTTGCCGCAGCCCGATTCGCCCACGATGGCGACGGTCTCGCCGGCGCCGACGGTGAGGCTCAGCCCGTCGACCGCCTTCATCTCGCCGCGGCGCGTGAACAGCGTGGTGCGCAGGTCGCGCACTTCGAGTGGGAGGGTGGCCATCGCTCAGCGATCCCGGAGCTTGGGGTTGAGCGCGTCGTTCAGCCCGTCGCCCACCAGGTTGAGGCAGAGCACGGTGATCATGATGGCGATGCCCGGGATGGCGCAGATGTACCACGAGCTGCGGATGAGCTGCCGCCCGTCGCCGACCAGCCGGCCCCAGCTTGCGACGTTGGGATCGCCGAGGCCGAGGAAGGAGACCGCCGATTCGAACAGGATGGCGCCCGCGACCACGAGCGACGACAGCACGATCACCGGCGGCAGGGCGTTGGGCAGGATCTCCGAAACGATGATGCGGAAGTCGCTCATGCCCATGGATCGGCAGGCCTGCACGAACTCGCGGTCGCGCAACGACAGGAACTCCGCCCGGGTCATGCGGGCGATCGGCGTCCAGCTCACGATGCCGATGGCGATCACGATGTTGGTCAGGGTCGAGCCCAGGATGACCACGATGGTGAGCACGAAGATCAGGTTCGGGATGGTCTGGAACAGTTCGGCCACGCGCATGCCGATTTCGTCGACCCAGCCTCCGAAATAGCCGGCGGCGGCACCGACGCTGACCCCGATCAGCGTGGCGACCGCCGAGGCGAACAGGCCGATCAGCAGGGTCGCCCGCGCGCCGTGCACGATCATCGAGAGGATGTCGCGCCCCAGCGAATCGGTGCCCAGCGGGAACTCGGGGTCCTCGCCGGGCCACAGTTCGGGGAGGCCGACGATGCGCAGCGGATCGGTCGGGAAGAAGATCGAGGCGAAGACCGCCATCAGGGCGACGACCAGGATCAGGCAGGCGCCGACCAGGGCGCCGCGGTTGCGCGCGAACCGGCCGAGGAACTCGAAGCGGGGAAATGCGAAGCGCGGCATCAGCGGATCTCGATCCGTGGGTCG